CCCTATATACCCCTTTAAAGGGATTCTGATGCTGCGTGCGTTTAAGGCAAACTTTTCTGAGTGCGGCACACGTTGTGGAAATTCACCTTGGGCTTCTGACACGCTTCGCAGCTGCTCAGTTGTCTAGGTCAAGAGAAGAAATGAGTAGTATTTTTGGGGGGGATACTATGGTACCCAATATAGAGCAAGATTCTATCCTTCTTTTGGGGTATAGTATAGTTGCTAGTCTGGGGTTGCGTTCCACTTGCAGACAAGGAGCATAACCATAGCCTGATGTCAGAACAACACCGGAACTCAGTGGCACTTGAGGGCATATGCAAATCGCCCTCAAACCCTGGTGGTCGCGAATGCGTACGGCCGCGCCTAACGACTTTCGGGACACGCTGTCCCGGCAAACGCGGATGGAGGCCACGGGGCCCACCGAGTTGAAAATCTCATAGAGCATAGCCTGCAAGCCGACAGCAAGAGAGCCGCTAGCACACAGCACCTTTTACCCTAATGCAAAGAGGCCAGGGCAAGGACTTGAAAGAAATCTAGGGGTTTATAAGGGGTTCTACAGGGAATATATAGGGATAATGGAAAAGAAAATGGAAACTACCATACTATAGGTTTATATAGGAATATACTTATAGGGTAAAGTGCTCATAGCCTCCGTCACATCAGGGTGAAGATCGCCGACGTACAGCGATGCGAACTGAGGTACACCGCCTGAACCAGCAAAGTTAAACGAAACTCAACAAAAACATCTTGGCTCAGGTGGCTTCCCTGCATCAAAATTTAAATTTGAAATGAGCCACTGTCTCAACTCCTAGTATCCCCCTTAGTAACCCCTATAGTAGTCCCATATATAATCCCGTATATAACCCCCGTTTAAGGAGTTTAGACTATAGCTCAAACGGCATCTATGACGTAAGGGCAACCTAGGTCCGATAGAATCCCCTCCTTTTGCTGTTGAACCAAGTGCTCCCACTCTGTACGAGCCATGCAGGAAACTAGGGGTTTTTGCTATAATGGGGGTCACCCTTTCACACAAAAAATCCTCAAGGAAGCCCTGATTTCTGAACACCCTACATATCTCTAATTTTTTGAAAATCTCTGAGTATCCCTACACGTCCGTCTGTAGCTGGTTTAAGATTTAAGAGAAAATGAAAAGTACAGTAGTACAATAGCGCCGGGGATTATATCAGGGACTACTGACCTCCAGTGAGATAACCCTAAACGACTATATCATTTCCCTATTCACCTCCGGTGTCCATTTGTTGTTCCATGTGCGTTTCCATTTTGCTGTTGCACTATCGGGATGCTGGTCCCTCTAGACCCTAGACGCTAGAATCTAGATTTCCCCCTATGCCCCGATATCACCCCAAATCTTGAACCCTAAACTGTAAACTCATATCCCCCTATACCCCGACATCACCCCCACATATCCCCTAATATCTCTAAACCACCAAGTTGTGAAGCTAGCTAACTCAGGGACCCCTTTCCGACACAATTTAGGGCTTAGGGTTTGGGGTTTAGGGTTTAGGGTATAGGGTCATGTAGAATTGTAGCTATCACCCCAAAAATGAATGCTTTTAAGCGACATAGGGGCCTGATGATTTCGTTGCAAGTACACTCATAAGTAGGGAATACGCAACGAGAACCTCCAAGTAAAGAGATGATCAGTCAGTGCTGTTTCTTTGGAATAACGGAATGGAAAGCAACATGCAAACTACCACCGCGTGAAGAATTATAGGGACCACTTTACAAAAAAGACTACGCGGGGATATCTACAAGAGATCCTGACCCTTGCAGCCGAAAAAGGAAATTGTGCCACTGGGACGACATCCTATAAGAATCCTGAAGCGGGAGGTTTTTCAAAACAGGCCACATGAGCCATAGTCCAAACTCAAAGTATCCCCCTTAATAACCCCTGTGGTACTCCCCTATATAGTCCCCTACATAACCCCCTTCCAGGAATTTAGACTATGGCCCACATAAACATCCTTAATGGGGACCCCCATCATTTCCTTTGTACTCCCCGTCAGTGGCTAGGGCCGCTCAGGGGACATAAGGTGATTCCTGCATAGAGTACCAGTTACCATAACAAATAGTAGGAGTTGTAATAGCGCGTTAATAAACACCTAGAGGGACAATTACTGTAAGGGGGAATGGCCCAAAGAGTACCCTTTTTTGTGAAACCCCAATCCTTACCCTAACCCAAGGTCAATGTTTGGGGTTTTGGGTTAAAGGCTTAGGGTTTAGAGTTTAGGGTTTAAGGTCTATGTGCCGCCAGAAAGAAGGGTCCGCCTTGAAAAACTCCTGTAATCATTTCCTGCCAGGGAGCCTTTTAAAAAGGTCCCAAGTTTTTGGAAGCGCTACCTAGGTCTATATGTATATGCCGCTCTACATATGTAGATCCCTACTTTTCCCTCTATAAAAAACTCTGAACTCCAAATCCCTACATAACCCCTAGAATCTAGAAGGCCTCTTTATAGGACGCTAAATCCCTGCATAACCCCTGGAAACCCCCTTTAAAGGATCATCAATACCTACACGATTCCCTAGTACCCGTCTTTCAAGGACCCCTAAACACTATGCCCTAAACCCTTAACCCTAAGCCCTACACCCTAAACCCCATATATCCCAATGTATCCCCCTAAACCCAATTCTTCTGAAAAGTAATGTCTGACCTCCTGGAGCCGCCATGACGTTGCGCCAGGAAGAAGAAGATCCTGAGATGAAGTCTGAATCCCCTCCCCTAATAACAAACCTCGGGTTTGAGGGTTTGAAGTTTAGGGTTTAAGGTAATGGAAAAGGAGCTTGAAACTGAGTGTACACTGGGTGTGTGGGGTGGGGAGGAGGGCGTATAGGGTATAGGGTTAAAAACTGTCACAAATATACCTTTACATATCGGAGGATAATTCGGGATAACTCACTATTAGGGGGCGTCTGGCTTTCTTGTTGGCGGGGGAGGGGATCTTACACGTAGATATATATATATATGTATACAGTGCCAACAATATGTGATGATATGTCGGGATATATAGGGGATCGGAACGGGTTTTAAAATCAGGCCAAGGTTTCAGGATTCACCATAATTGAGGGATTATATGGGTGGTTGTCAAAATTATGGGCCCTTTTTAGATCCCAATCATAATACGGCACCTAATATTTAGGGTACCCCAAAAGGGACCATAATTTTGACAACCACCCATATAGGGATGTATAGGGATCATTCTAGGGCTTTGCTCCCCCACTCAACCTGAACACCAACGGTCTAACAGACCATTGCCCTAACAAAATACCCCAAAATCCTTTCATGGTATGGTCTTTGGGCCCAACCCTAAGCCCTTCGTACACTTGCTACAACTATGGCTGTTAGTGTTCTTCTTCGTCCCCTATTACCATTCCCGTTTTGGGGCCTTTAATGAGACGGCTCCTCAATAACCCCTGCTTCATTTACATCTCAAGTCCTCTGTGCAGGGATTGGGGTTAATGCTTTAGGGGTTACTGTTTCGGGATGATGGGCTTGGCACGCTTGAAACTCTAAACCCTAAACCCATCACATCTTTGTCCAAGTACTTGTAGGGGATGCTCGGGACAGCCGAAGGCATGAAGAAGGATGCGGAATGTCAGTTATAGGGCGAGGTTCAGGGGATAAGGGTTTGGGTTAAGGGTTTGGGGGTTAGGGAGCGGATTATGCTTCTGTAAACACCCACTCTGTGTTTTCCATGTGCTTGTCCAAAAATGGCGACTTAACCCTATGTAAACCCTTCATGACGCCCGTATCACCTCTATTTAAAAGCCCAAGTAGCATTGCGTGCCTGCGCGCCAGTCGGCGGACGGTGTCTGTCTATCTGGGTTTAGTTGCGGGGATCAGATATAGCAGGGTTGGGGGTCTGACGCTTACCCTAAGACTCTGAAGACTCATACTTTAAGGCTTTTGGGACCAATGACCAGACAGTGAAAGGATTTTTGGCTGTTTTCAGCCTATGAGGTAAGGGGAGCCTCACGCACGTAAACAGGAATCCCAAAGCCTGAAGGCCAAACTTTAAAACACAAAGATTTGAATCTAGAACTGCTGAAGCCCCTGGAATCCATAACTACCCCCCCACAAACTCTAAGCCTTCAAGCTTCCAGGCCTCTAAAACCCTACATCACTACCACCCTCGAATTGTTGGGCTTTCCTCACTGGACGCTCCAACCTTCAAGTCAGAGGCTCCGACATCCAATTTGGGATCTATGCTTTCTCGGGGTGTAGGGCTTGAGATGGCTTGAGGTTTAGGGTTTAGGGTTTAGAGTTTAGGGGTTGAGGGTTTAATGCTCAGGGCTAACACTTCAGGGCTTGAAAATCATATTGATCCCAGCCCAATATCAGGATTCTAGATATCAAAGTTTGCTTAAGGTCCGTTAGGATCCTCAAAGGGGACAACACCATACTGTACATGCCTAAGGCCCCTACCGCAGCGCCCCATCCATTGTTGAGAAACCACCATTTAGACCTTACTATCCCCTAAGGGTCTAAGGGCCCAGGGTACACATCAATGTCTCCAAAACCTATATTCGACTATTACTAGTTCCGAGATCACAAGCGTACCCAAGTATCGGATCCTGAGCTGGGTCGCTGTTGAGGACCTTAGTTTAAGTAAGTTACTATAACAAGGAACCCTATTATTTGCGATATACACGTGATATGGTAGTCTATCTTCTTAATTTTAAATTCCTGAACAGCAACCCAGTAAGCCCTAGACCCACGCGCCCTAGGAGATTCACCGCAAGAAGTTCCAGACGTTCTTGAGGGGCGTCGACATGGAACCGAGGATCTTTCTCAACGAAGCCTTGCCTGCACAGCACCCTAAACCCTAAATCCCAAACCCGACCCTAAATCCTAAACCCCAAACCGCTTTCTTGCTTAGAAATTGGGTTTGGGGCCGAAGGCCTAAGGGTCTAGAGTGAAGGGCATGTGAGTGTGCAGGAGTGTGCAGGAGATGCAGTTGCTGTGTAGGGCTTAGGGTTTTGGGTTTTGGGCATACCGTAAGCCGCATAAGCCCTAAACCCTAAACCATTAAGCTTCAAACCCTAAACGCCCAAACCCTGAACCCTCAACCCTAAACCCCAAACCCTATGTAGGGTTTAGCGTTTCCGGCTTGGAATTGAAGCCTAGGTTGCAGTACTAAGGCAGGGACTCGAATGGCTTGGCTTGGCCAGGGTTTAGGGTTTGAGGGCTTAGGGTTTAGGGTTTGGGGTTTTCAGGGGTTTAGGGTTTAGGGTTTAGGGTGAGGTTTAAGCGCTCAAGCCTACAAAGCTGGGTCTTAGGGTTTATAGGGTTTAGGGTTTGATGTCGAAAACCGTTTCCGAAGTGCAAGACTCTCCAAACATGATAGGCCTGATGCCTAAAGCCCCAAATCTTCAAGCGAACGCCCTAGACCCAAACTCCGTGGACCCAAAGTCCCTCAACTCTACAGC